ATATCTTGTAGTATCTCCAACCAGGCACAGTGTGGATCACGCGGTCCCCATCCTGGAAGGCGAGTAGCACCGACAGCACCCAAGGGTTTCGTGATCTCTTTCATACTCCTCCGCCAAGTCAAGGGTTGGACACCTCTCTGTTTACGCCACTCCGAATTGGGCATGAAAAACAGTACTCTCTTCGGCAAACGATGGTTCGGCATACGTAACACACGTCCCAACCAACGCAGCTTCTGGTGCTGGACACATTCTTCAGTGGAAGGAGCCGTTGCACAACCGAAAACGCGCTTCCTAACTGCCTCGTTACGAATTCGCCGACACCAACCCACACGAGCTACGGTTCTAAGACAACGATTGTCGAACACCTGAAGAATTCTCAGTTCCGCTGCTCGAATGGGCCAAGTCTCACAGCCATACAACAAAATAGCCCGTACTGTAGCTTGATACACACGTCCCTTCAGATTCAGGGATAAACCATTCTGACGCCGTGGGTGTTTCAAATTGGCATACGTGGCCCGAGCCTTGCAGATTCGTGCATTCACCTCATCTGTCACAATACACTCAGAATTAATACAATTTCCAAGATATGTAAAACGCTCCACAACCTCCAGTGCCTCTCCCTGGATTATGAGTGGCGTGTTCAGCGACTGCACGTCCACGAGCATGACCTTATACTTTGTAGGTGCAAAGTGCAATGTTCCCACATATTTTCATAAAAGCAGGAGAGGACCATAACCTGATCAGGTTAATTAAAAACAATTTTACAAACAAAATACAATCCACTCATTAGTTTGCTCGCTTAGCTGAGTGATTTGATTGTAGACTTTTCATTACGAGTCAAAATGATATTATCAGTGCATTGTTGAGGAGCGTCGCGATGCATCGGCGTTTAAGCGTTGAGTAGTGTTGCATGTGTGCCAATATATGTACTGCTAGCCGGAGCTTACTAGTTATCCGTCCGGAAAGCTCCATTGGTTAATCGGCTATCTTGTGTCCTTATTGAATGGTGGCCACGTGACCGCTCGGTGGATAACGCTTAAGCGCGTTCCCCACGGATTCGGAGTGCCAGTTGGATGTCCTTGGGCATTACGGCAACACGCTTGGCGTGAGTGGCGCAGAAGTCGGTGTCTTTGAAGAGGCCAACAAGGTACGCCTCGCTCGCTTCCTGTAGAGCTGAGACAGCCGTGATTTGGAAGCGAAGGTCCGTCCTGAAATCTTGGGCGATCTCACGGACGAGTCGTTTGGATGGTAGTTTGGTGATGAAAAGCCCAGTGCTCTTCTGGCAACGACGAATTTCGCGCAGTGCGACAGTAGCGGACTTGTACCGATGAGGCTTCTTCGCACCGCCAGCCGCCGGCGCGATCTTGCGAACGGCTTTTGTGGCGAGCTGCTACCCCATGGCCTTGCCACCAGTGGACTTCCAGGCAGACCGACAACCGGAGTTCCCCACACCGAGACCCATGCCGTTCTATCCTGGTCAATGCTGGCGTGACCTTTGTCCTTAACCCCTCTTGGTTCTGGTTTGCGACCTCTGTTTACCTGACTTCAACCGGTTCCTTCTTTCTCAGCTTGTGAAGCCGACATTCGGATTTACTTGAGTATTCCGGTTGTCATTTTGGCCTTTTGCACGTCGTCATGCGTAGAATGGATCCAGTTTAATGCGTTAGTTGGTCGAATCTGCCATGATATACGGTGCTTCCATAAATTACCTTCCATTTCTCGTGTCTCATTGTGCAGCCCCTTTTTTTCTTCATGACTACCTAGAAGCAGCATCCTGCTGGTGCTAGCGTTTCTTGTTTTCCTCCTCTTTATTCATAACGAAAGTGCCCAGGGATAACATTTCCAATAACTACGACTACTCTGATGGCACAGTAGCAGCTATCATACTTGTAAAACAAATCTATAACTACAAATTATACAGCATATAATCTTTCCCCGGTCATGGTTCCCATCACGATGACCTACCCAGTAATTATTATACTTTCATCGTCTACAATTTCCTCTTAATTTTGACGCCTTTTGTGAGAATCGTGCGTATAGGGTAATGTTGTTAACTTCCAGGGATATTTAGTTCGGATGGGTTCACTACCAGCACCAAAGTCTTTTTTATTCACAAGTGACGTGGCTGAAAAATTATTTTAGGTCCCAAAACCCTTGCTTAAAATTAAAATTGACCTGAAGGTAACCAGGGTTTTCCCGTAGCAGTGTGTCGAAATATTGTTGGCCCGGTGCACTGATTGGTTTTTCAAGCAGTTCGCTGTGGATTTGCTTGCCAAATTTGGCAACCAAGGTGCAAACGTTTTTTCAACGCAAGAGAAAACATTATCAGTATCACGCTCGTGAAGTGAAGCCAAAAAAATTATCGATATTGAGCCTGGTCGTAATCTGTTGAGCGTGTGATCTATGCTTTGCTGGCCTGTTCACATTCCAAAATAGACAAAATAGATAGAACAACAAAATTTGCTATACACAGACTTTCAGAAAGAGAATGGCTGAAGGAATGAAGCCAATAACAGCTGAACAGGACGATTCAGCAACTTTGGTTAGCAACGACTGATGAATTTGCGGTCTGTCTAAAGAGGATTGTAGATAGATCAATTATGTCAGCCTCTAATACAGCGCTGATGATGATTGAATTTGACCACACCTGGTTGTATTCAACATATCCTCATTACTCTCGCTCATTTTTAAGGTCTTTGATGAGAGTACTTTTGGATTAGCACATTTCAGAAATATTTTTTCTGCTTGGGTATAACATGATCTTTTTTGGCATTAGTGTTGTCACGCAATCGTTTGTGTGAACGCATCTTTTTCCGCTTCTGTCCGTAAAACAGCGCTCATTCATGTTGTTCTCACGTTGACTTCATTTAAGGAACACCTGAGGGCTGCATGCAACAGTTCCCTGAGGCAGGTATATTCCTGTGCTGTGTTACTGGATGTAGTTGGGAGTTTAGGAAGCAGCGTATTCGAAGACATCGATTTCTTCAAGCAAACTGATGAGCATTCTTTACACATTGTTAATGTCTTTAGGTGCCTGATATTTTCGTACGGCTACTACATGTTTCCTGGTTTGGGTTATGAGCCCGAGAATTACTGAATAAATCTGCCTTCGTGACGTCTCTAGTATCAAAAGCATGAGTCTTCTCCACACCAGCTATTCAGTCAATAGTGAAATATGAACAACGGAAGGACTATTGAATAACCGGAAACGATGAAGTTCCCCGTAGGGTAGTACAGCACTAGGGGGATTATCTGGAACACCTTTGTCCTGGTCATTTCCACGTTTCCCGAAGAGATGTAATTCAAAACATCACCGTGTAGAGGACTGTGGTCAGTATTGTACCCACAGCAGACAGACCAGCATCAGCTTTTCAATATTACAACTAGTTATATTGACTTTATCTAGAGGAAACTGCGAGCGGTATTAGATGATCTGATGGTTCTGACTGTTCTACATATTAGTTGAATAAATATGACACCCACAAATGTTGTAAAGACCAATCAGATGATTTTAAACTATTAACCAGAAAATTCGCAAAACAATTTCATTTGCACACGGAAGACTCAACTGAATGCACTCGAATCTCTCGTTTATAATGGTCTTCTTCAAAGACTGATCGATCTCCCACTCCCAGTACCTAATAGGTGTGCATGCACCAAAACACTTTCATGATCACCGTGACCCGCGGTGAGGTCTTCCCAGCAAATACACACCAATCCATAAACACGATGCACACATTAGTGAAGCGAACATGTCCGCATGTGCATGTGTTCAGCCGTTGTATCTGTAGGTGTACCCGTCTCGGTTTATCGAAGGACATGTTTGTGTGCTTGTTTTGCTGTCCATGGGATGTTAACCCCATTGCGATGTGGGCTAACTAGGTACAGAGGAAGTGCGAATCCGCTTGGGCCGACCGAGTGTAGTCTTCCCTATGACACCTGGAACGATAGCGGAGGTTTAATGGTATATTGGAAGCGCGTGGGAGTTACTTCGCACCCGAGCGTTCGTCTACGTGACCTCAAGAACGAACGATATCTTGTAAACTGACCTTGATGGACTTACGGCTACTTCATCATTTTTCGTACGAATAACGATTTCGCTGCCTCTGCTGTTCGTTCTGTTACTGCAGGATAAAAAACAGTGATTTCCACAATTTATAGCGTTCCTCAGTTAAGACCATATATAAAATATATAACGCTGCCCGTAACAAGGTTCTTCTCACAACATTTCACAGAACGTCCCGGGCTCACAGAGCCAGAAATGTGTATTCAACGGAGGACTTTATAGCTCGGCAATTGAACCTTCAACAATCAACGGAAGTAGTGAGAAACTTGCCAGTCAAACTCAGCACAGTAAATCGCATTCTGTAACGTCGACGTTCTTCATACGCGGTGATACTGCTCGGGACGCGGCCATTTCGCGTGAAACCGGTAACCGTTCCGCCGGTGGCAGTTTATCTTGTGGCCAGCCTAGTCCATCTTCGACAACAGAAGGCTCAGTTGCTAGTGCTCTGTCACCAACCAGTCTGAGAGTTGAGACAAGGCCTCAACACCAGTCGTTCTGGTTGCACCAGTCTGAACTCACCTTACCAACGGAGCGAGATTTGCCTCCAGGATATGTCAACGGTGTAGGACATTCAGTGCCTGACAAACGCGTTGCAAGTGTTCCTGGACTTGAAGCAGGCATCAAGGCTCAGACAGTTGAGTCACTATCCAATTTGCCCTCAGCTGACACCCGCTACTTTTCTACAACAAGCATGAATTACGGAAATCAGCACAGCCGCACCGATTCAGAGGATTACCTGAACAACTACGCCGCGGGTAAGTCAACTTATAGAGTTTCAAGACTATTATAAATTTAACACACATGTCATTTGGTACGACGGCTTCATGACTTTTTAAATGGTTTGGATTAGTGTTACAACTGTTATCATAAATTAACAAATCCACGATTGTCTTGTAGCGTTGGGCAGGAAAATCAGCAGAATTAAACACTTTGCTTCAAATGTGGGTCCCAAGGCGTAATTATAACTATAGTTTCGATCTCTCATCGGTTTGAGTAGGTGATTAATTTGCATTGGTTGAGGTTGGCTATACTGTATTATCGTCTTTTCATCATAGAATATAAATGTATGAGAGAATGAAGCCTGCTGCCTGTGTTATGTGAATTTCTCAGGTGATTTCGATAATTCGGGCGCAGTTCGACATCTGTTGCTCTTTATTTCTGATGCGTAAAAAGTGCGGGAGCTCCTAATATACAGCAGAGAGCTTTCTTCCTACTCCTCTGTTTGTTACCAATCGGTTGCTCAAACCCAAAAGCCCGTTTTGATGGATGTACAGAGTGTGATAAAGTTAAATCACTTCTACAGGTTGATTGCCCAGTGTAAAATCTGGGACCGACAACCAGACGGGTGTACAGCAAGACATATAATTTGCCATACGCTGCAATCATATATCGGTTTGCTATTTCTGATGCGTAAAAAGTGCGGGAGCTCCTAATATACAGCAGAGAGCTTTCTTCCTACTCCTCTGTTTGTTACCAATCGGTTGCTCAAACCCAAAAGCCCGTTTTGATGGATGTACAGAGTGTGATAAAGTTAAATCACTTCTACAGGTTGATTGCCCAGTGTAAAATCTGGGACCGACAACCAGACGGGTGTACAGCAAGACATATAATTTGCCATACGCTGCAATCATATGATCGGTTTGCCTTCGTCCAAGTATGCCCTTTCTGCTTTGTAAGAGCTGCGTGTTACTTTTGTCATACGCATCGGTGTTAGTCCAGGCCGATCCAATGTACTGAACACCGCCTATAAACGCCTCTACGCGATTCGTTTATTATCTTGTTGAGGTTCATTCACAGGATGTAACAGTGGATGCAACTGGGAAATCTAGTAAAGGCCAAAAATTTGCGCCAATACAACCACTTCTGACCCACTTCCCTTCGCTAAACCTGTTGATATGTTGGTAAACATTATGGTTGACGGAAGATTCAGCAAGACAACGGATGGGTCATTACCCTCCAAAGACTGGTTCATTTCCATTCAACACTTGATCAAGGTGTTTCGCCCTCAACAGCAAAACCTAGCTTTAAATGTCCCTGGTGTTCATTTGAAATGATCGTCTTGGAGGGGATAATCCTACTGGGATACGGACTAGAAATAAACTAGTGCCCAGAGAAACGTCGATATTTAGGTGGAAAAACAAACATTGGTGGATTAAAGAGTTAGAACAATTACATATATATGCCTAAAAGTCCTGCGGGGTAGCAATCGGTCCTGCCTTTGGCCAGGTGGGATTTCAAATAGAAGACCAAAAGATGAGAGCTGATATAAAACCTTGATTGAAGTTTCTAGATATCATGTGGAAGGTATTGACTAAACAATTTTCTACCAACTCACTTAGTGCCCTAAAATTAATCGTTTATTAAAGATGAGGCGGCATGTTGGTGGCTAATTTGGTCGTCTCACCGTCACAAAGGATAAAAGCTATGCTCCCTTCCTTTTGTGTGGGAGGGTCCCATAGAAAGGCTAGGGGACAGCTGCTAACGACTAGCTAAATCAAGCAAGCCAGAGGATCTCTGAACTTGTAGAAGTGTAGAATTCCTTCACGTGGAGATCCGACACTGTTGGTGGATTTCAACATCTTACTTATATTATTTTGCATAAGTTGCATCACACAGCCTACTCTGAGATTTCTTTGTGTAGAAAATTAGTGAGGTCTTCTTACACTTATAGCTTAACTGGCTCAGAGAGCTTGCATAAAATCCGATGACTGCCAAATACCGACGGCGATCCGGTTAGATTTCAAAAGACTTTTCCGGGCATGAGGTGGTCCATTCCGAACCTGGGTGTTCAGCTAAATAATTTCACAACAAATCTCGTGGAGGCCAATGTGATACGCTTCGTAGAGAATCGTATTACTGCCACAGTGAGTGTGAGGGAAGGTGTCAGCAATTCTATCATGCACATGCGCCGAAAAATTAAATAAAGTAGAATCTGTGCCCAAGGTTAAAAGTGATTTGCACACTCAACCTGGCAAAACCGTCGTTCAGCTGTAGCACACTTTCGGTGCTCAAATGCCATGCCACCAGAAGGAAGCACGAGAGCTGGGATACTGCAAGGTTGCTCAAGCCTAGACGGGGAATTTGCAATGCAGAGATCGGGTTCGGACCACGAACCTCTCGGTGAATGAAATCGCGCTACACCCACTGAGCCATCCCGACCTGAAGGAACCTGCTACGGTTCATATCCAGATTCTAAATACTCCTCGCGCCAAAGTCAGTAAATCCAAGGGTCTTTTTAGCCAACAGACTAATGTTTTCATGCAAACCCGGGTGAACTAAACTTGAAAACAAGTAAGTTTTTGTCGGTGATTATCAGTTGTGACTATGTTTCTGTAGGTAAGTTTGGTTGTCTCATCCCCCCCCCATAATGTGGAAATGTTAAGTATTTTAAAAATCGTTCAACAGTGTAATTATCGACGCTTGAAAATAGCAGCACTTGATCCCTTATAAGACTCTAAATCTCAGTGGATTGGGAAAATTTATTCCAGTTGGTTTAAGGTGAGAATGAAAATTGGGAAATTGAAATGAGGCCGCTATTGAAATAGGTAGGCAAATCATCCTATAATAATACTGCTCGGCCTACCCAAATAGGGGCATAGTTGCGCTGCATGCACTACAGCCCGACCCAATGAGAAAAGGATATATTCTTCTGGCAACCTCAACCTCACAACCAACTTGAGCTCACCTGTATGGCGAGGAGTCTGCTGGTTTCTAAGGTGTCTTCTGCTCAAAATCGGGTAGAATTTTATGAAAGCATCGTCACCTGATCTCTAAATAATGCCATTTAAGAGCATACTAGCTCACAAGGCAAACAGAGCCAAGCCAGGTTTCGGTGGCCCGGAAGCATACCAAGACCATGTAATCAACGCCCTTTAGATCACCCTTTAAAAAAACCCTTTAAATCGTCCTACAGGTCATTTATCTCTCTTGTATTACAATGTCCGTAGAACTCCCTCCTTCATGTGGCAGAATGTGAAATTGAGGGCTCTTGTAAGTCAAGCGAACCGTCTACGAGTTTAATACCATGGAGAACAATTTAGATTGTTAATGTGCTTTGGAAACTCCTGCACTTCTAATAACCGGCCCCACTACCACGCCCAGTCGAGCTTCAGCTCATCTTGCAGCACAATTAACGAGCCCCTGCACTTGGTTACATTACGTTTGATATACTAGAGCTATATATATATATATATATGCGGCTCACAGAGTGTAGTAACCAACCTGGTGGCGGTAAGTGACTGTCTTGTCAAAGGAGCCTGAATGTTTGCTTGCAATTTACAAGGTGATAGGACCCTCACACTAGTTTAGATTTACCGTGGTAAAGGATGTGGAACATGCGTGCATACCTACTAGAGCTATCCTTCACGTTGAAGCTTTAAACATTTTGTATGTTAGCATTAGTTCGGAAAAGGAAAAAGGAAATTTCCTCAAAGTGTGACAAGACAGTGAACATTGTATTAAAATCAACATTGACTTTCTTCCGAGCCAATTTTGATCATCTGTGAATTGAATGAAGTTTTACGCTTGTTTCGGTAGTGTGAGTAAAACACAGTTATCGGTCTACCGTGCAGAATACCTTTGCTGTAGTCGTTGTCAAGACGAAATTGTCTGAGAGCTCACTTTGTACCCTTGTTCTTCTGGCGCTTGCATAGAAAATGTAAATGTGTGAGAGAGCAAATAACAGGTGCCAAACACGTATAAAAAGCCGAAATCCCACGTTTTCACATAATGTTGCGAGAATCCAAAGCCGAAAAACGAACTCAAGAACACTTGATGCAACAAAAGGGGAAAATTGAGATAAGTTGTTAGACTGATTTGAAATATTTTAACCAGGTGTCTGTGTTAGAAAATGTTTGATCCCACTGCCACCTCAATCTTTTACTGGGTGCGCCAAATCTGATTTCTGATTTGTCTGTCGCCCTTCAATTTTGTGATGTAAGTTTTCCATGAACTATCTAAGGTTCGATGAACAAGGCACATCAATGTAATTCTATATGTGAATTTTCATAAAGGAAACTACTCACAGGGCTGCTGAAAACTCTTCCACAGCCCACGACCGGTTTCGCCCTTCTTGGGGCTCAGCAGGTAGGCGCAGTCTCCGAGTTTCCGTCAACCTTATGATCTACTTGGAACCCAAATTGCACTATTTTCGAGAAATACACTCATCTGCAAATCAATCTGGTTTTCACGGGAGACTCCATTGAATCTCTCGTTTATGATGTTAAGTTTATGAAGTTAAGTTGATTATTCCAGCGATCGCAGTGGGACTGATTGACCATCTGCCAAATTTTTTTAGTATTCTCAAGTGATAAAAATTATTGTCATACTGTGGTCGTATTATGTGATTCAAAGCGTCATTTGAACCCGCCACCGTGTGATATGAACCTAAGGGGAATTTCGCAGTGGAGAGAGGCCGAAAAATGCACGAAAATCTAGCTATCATAATCATCATTCTTGACAACTATTTCATAGACTTTTTCAGAAAAAGCAAAAACTGATCTAGGTTCTACGACAGCACTATTTAGCTCTACCGTTGCAATAAGTCTCGTGTCCTTGACCAAACGTTATCGTTTTCATTAAAAAACGACCTTTATTGATCACGGGTTAAATGAATTCTTCTTTATTAACCAGTAGGTTGTCTTGACATTTTGAATCACAGAAATTCCAAGCGTCCATTCCTAGGATTTATACATGCCAATATCCATATCAGCTTTGGCGAAGTGCAACTCAGTAAAACAAACAGCGGTAGTTCGTT